GCATTGTACGGAACAGTGCAGAAGCCAGACGAGACTAACGACAGCTACCTGGCTAGGCATGACGTTCATTTTGAGGAGCTGCTATCCCAAGGTGTGACTTTCGAACAAGTTCGTGCGTACATCTTGCTGCGCCAGTCGCAGCTCTCCATGGAGGACCGAAAGAAGATCATCGTGGAGATGGGAGGTAGCTTGGAGTATAAGAAGGTGTGCTCCTCGATTCGGCTACTTGGGTCACGGTTCTTTGCCGATCTGCAGGGTCAGAAAACTGCCAAGACACGAACCTATGATGCCAATCTTGTGGAGGATGCCCCTCCCGAAGAGGGCGAGCGAGCTTATGGTGCCTTCTCGGCAAGCGCTGCCGATGAAGGAGAGATTGAACTCGATGACAACTTCCTCGAGATCATGGTGGCCTCAGAGGACCAGGATGCCTTGCAGGTTCAGGCCTTCGAAGAAGAGCTGGAGAATTTCTTTCAGGATACTCCAGAATTGCAGGAGGCACTGGTGAGCTACATTGAGGCCCGATCTCGTTTGCTAGCCAAGAAGAAGTCGCGCGGCTTCTGGCCCATCGGTGCTGGAAAAGGCTCCACGAAGGGAGGCCGCGGCTTCAAGGGCTCTGGCAAGGGGAAAGGAAAGCATCGAGAACAACTCCTCGCTCGCATCGCTAGGTCAACATGTCGGATTTGCGGAGAAAAGGGCCACTGGAAGGCCGAGTGCCCTCGCCGCAAGCAGAGCTCCTCAGGAGAAGCCACGACCACGGTGGCTGAGGCCTTCGCTGAGGCCCTCGAGGTGCCTGGCCTTGGTGATGAGGTTCCGGTACCTGAGATCTCGACGCAGCTGCCCGCGGATGCTTTGAGCCTCGAGGAGGCTCTGGTTGTTTGCTCGCTCCCAAACCCAAACGAGATCAACCTTAAGCTGCAGAAACTAGTCCAGAAGCTGAAAACCCAAAAGCCCAACCTTTCCAAAATCAGCTTTCACAGGCCGCGCAACAGTGGGGAACCTCGCTTGACTGATGAATCCTGTTGCTTTCTGAAGCGTTCCTGTGATTCCGAGCCCGCCATAGCCGCTCTTGTCCATCACCAGGGTCCCGTAGAAGCCATCCTAGACACAGGTGCTAGTAGATGTGTTATGGGCAAGAGCTTGCTTCAGAGGTTTCTCGGCCAGCTGAATGATTCGGTCCGTTCTAGAGTTCGGGTTACCAAGAGTTCCATTCGCTTTCGGTTCGGCAATAACCAGACGTTGCTGAGTGAGCGTAGGATTCATCTTCCTTTTGGGACACCGAATCAGCAGGTTTTGTGGCTGGGGATAGAGATTGTGCCGGGCAGCACGCCTCTGCTGTTCAGCAAACGCGCCATCAAGCAGTTGGGAGGCTTGATAGACACCGAAGCTGACGTGTGCGAGCTCCGTAGACTGCAGCGAAGTCTGTTGATGCAGACTGGCCCTACCGGGCTTTACATGATCGACCTTGCCCGCCTGTGCGAGGAAAGCAATGCTGAGGTACCGTGTCAACATGTCTGTGAAGAACAATCTCAGGTTGCAGCCTTCGCCGACCCATGCATGTTAGGAAAGCCTTCAGCTCCCGGGACTAAGACTTTTGGGTGTATAGATAGTCATCGTCCTGTGTGGGGTAGTCGAGCTAAGAATTCAGATAGTGCGTTGAAGCCCATTCGTGCCAGCGCTGTTAATGAAAGTGTACCGGCCTTGAAGGGCGCTCTTCAGGCCGAAATGCCAGTGACAGCACATCATGATCATCAGCGAACTGTGCCAGGTGTAGCCGCTCCTGCTATCAGCTGTGCACCCCGCTCCCCACCTCCGTGTTCTCGCTCTTTGCCTAACCATGGCCCAGAGCAGCAGCGCCTCCGAAGCTCCTCCCTCCGAGACCTCAGGCAGCAGCTTGGGCATGCGTCTTGCCCGCCTCCGAGACCCAGTGCAAAATCTGACTTTGGAGCAGCTGCAGGCCCTTTCACTCGAGGCCCATGGAGCTCACGTCGTGAACTTCGGCACCAAGGTGAAAGGCCGTACTTTTCAAGATGTCGTCGAGAACGAAGCCGAGTGGACCAAGTGGATCGTAGAGCACATGAGCACAAGCCCCAAACGAAGCCACCAGAGCTTCATCATGTACGTCGAAAAGTACGTGAGCCAAGCCGAGGAGATCGAAGCGGCCTTGATCGAAACTGCAATCTCGGGCGAGCCCCCAGTTCGCATGATTGCTCAGGCCAAACCCAAGGTGCGCTCGAGCAGCAAGGCCGCGCCCAAGGCGAGCAGCCGCCCTGTGACCGAGGCCGTGAGCGAGGACCCCTGGGAGTTCATGGAGGAGCCGGCGATTACCGATCAGGTGACCGCCCTGAACCATCGCATGTTGACGATGGAGCAGATGATGCAGGAGATGATTTCGGCCATTCAGCGACTGAGTGTCGGCCAGAATGCCTCGTGAGCGAGGTCACATCGTGTCAGCGTGAGTTGGAAGCCCTGCTGGCTTCCAGCTTTTCCACCTCTGCAGCTGCCCAAAACTTAGAGGATCAAGCTAAGGAGATACTCTTAGCAAAGAGTGGCATTCAGGTTGTTAAGAACTTCCTTAAGCAAGTGCCGTGGCATGAGCTGTCAGAGAGCAGCTCACGTGACCGTGTGATCGTCAAGGATTCCGAGGCCCAGAAACCGCCTGCATATGTGAGTTTCGGGATGTATGTTCATGGGGGAGTTGTTGGGATTACCAAGGTTGCTAGGAGTTTTCCCTGGTTGACAAGGCTGATAACCTATCTTGTCCGATTGAGTGACCCCAACCACCGCTTCACCTCCGTTGGCATTTCTTGTAATGCCTGTGCTGAACCCCATAGGGATAGTTACAATTCTGAACGGCATGATAACCTGGTCATTCCCCTTGAGTATCCCGATACCGGCGGTGAGATTTGGGTCGCCAAGGCACCTCATGCACGCCAGCAGTCACAAGAACGATTATGTGGAAGTAAGGAACTTTCCGGTACCCTGGTAGCCCTTAAGCCTGCCCTCCACCTAAATCCCCACTGCTGGCATGCCACAGCGTCTTGGACAGGCAATCGGATTTTGTCCATCGGCTACAGTCTTAAAGCAAGTCACAAGCTGGTGCTTCAAGACAGGAACTGGTTGAAGAACCTAGGTTTTCGATTGCCCGCGCCTTTTCAGCAAAGCCTTCAGATAGCTAGGGTGAACCCATCTGCCTCGAAGCTCCGGCAAGAGCTTGCGTCTGCTGCGCCTCTTCTGTCTTCAAGCCTTTCAACGAAGGCACAGCATGCAGCCGATGCCTGTTTCACGGCGTTCCGACAAGCTGAAGATGCCGCCTGGGAGGTGTATCAGGACTCTATGCTGTCCTATGATCAGCCTTCCGATGCCCAACTAGATCTGCTAGAAGTTTACGTCAATGG